GATCCCCAGCACCACATGCCAGCCAGCCCCGCCCCCTGGTGGGCTGAGCTGGCCACACACACACACAATAAATAAATGTAATAAATAAAAATAAATTAAAAAAAAAAAAACACCAAAAGCATTAACAAAAATAAATAATAAAATAAAATAGGACTTGGAGTGCAGCTCAGAGATGGTGCACAAGCTCAGCATGTACAGGGTCCCGGGCTCAATCTCCAGTACCAAAAATAATCATAACAAAATAACATTTCTGTACCTTGCAGTGGGATGAAAAACACATACCTATGACTTAAATTCTTTGTGTATCGAGATCTTCATAGGCTATATATATTACATATATATAGCCTATGAAATGAACCCAGGGATGGGTTCTGGAGTGCTCTACCACTGAGCTACACCCCAGCTCTTTCTATTTTTTTATTTTGAGTCAGGATCTCACTAAATTGACCAGGTTGGAGAGCCAGAGAGATAGCTTAGTGGACTAAGCGCCTGCTTAGGCAAGTGCAGGGTCTGGGGTTTGATCCCTGGCATCACATGCAGTGTGCTGGGTGAGCTGAGCCAGCCAGTGAGTTCCAGCGTGGTGGTGCATGCCTATAATCCCTGCGCTGGGGAGGCCGAAAACAAGAGGATCACTATGAGTCTGAGCTGCATAGTGAGACCCTGTATCAAATACATTAAAAAAAACATTGACCAGGCTGGGCTTGAACTTTTGATCCTCCTGCCTCAGCCTCCTTAGCAGCTGTGGCTACAGGTGTGCACCTCCACTGCCAGCTCTCCCACTTGACTTTCTTCCAGAACTGAGATCATAGGGCCTGCGGCTCAGCAAGAGTTTGGAAAATATCTGCTGACAGACCAAATAAATGACTGGGGGGAGCAGGGAGGGAGAAGGGGAGAAGAAAGGAATTAAGATGTGTCAGGATGTGGAAAACCTTCGCACAGGGAACAGACTCTGCATAGACTGCAGACAGCACCAATAAAGAGAGTAAAAATAAAGAGGGAGAGAGAGAGGTTAAAATGGGAGGGAAGGACGGATGCTTCAGGTCTGGGAGGCCAGAATCCCAAGAGACGGGTGGGGGTGGGGAAGAACGGAGCTGAGGGCTTCAAAGGGCCCACAGGGTGAGGCAGGGAGGGTCCAGGGCTCCCTGTCTCCTATCCCCAATTTTCCTACCCACAACGGCCAGTGATGGGGGACACGGCCAGTAGTCGGTCTCAATCTTGGCAGGCTGGTTGGGGTCCGGGGGCTGGGCTGCAGGGAACTTGGACGACTCGATGATGAGGTCCTCGATCTGGTGCTTGCTTTGGGGGCTGCCCGTCATGGACTCTGCAGAGAGAGGCCAGAGTCTCACACACACAGCCACCCAGGCCACAGGACCGCCCCTGTCCCTGCCCCCAAGTGGTTCTGGATGTAATGCACAGCAACAAGCAACAAGCACAGAGCAAATGCCCAGGGTGACATGCTGGGGGGAGGGGTTCCAGCAGCACTGGGAATGAACCCAGGGCCTTTGGGCTGAGCATATATATATATATATACATATATAGTTGATTGGTTTTTCTTTCTGTGCCTGGGGGGGGTGCCTTTTTGAGACAAGTTCTCACTAAGTTGCTAAGTTTTGCAGACTGGGCTCAAATTTGTGATCTTTCGGCCTCAGCCTCCCAGGGTACTGCGATTACACGTGTGTGCCCCAATGCCAGACATGCTGTTATGAGCAATTATTCTCTTAGCATCAGGACGTAGCAGGAAGGGTCCCTGAGAAATTGGGGGATCCCTCACCTCTCTGCTTGTAGATGGGCGGCTTCTTGTAGATGTTGGAATCCGGCCGGGTGGTCTCTGAGAGAGGGGACAAGAGCAGCTGAGATCATGCTGATGCCAAGAAACCCCAGGGACAAGGGGACAAACAGTGTGCCCAGGGCTGAGGCAGAACTGGAGGTCCTGGCGTCCCTCAGGTGGTGGGCAGGAGGGGTCTGAAGAGCACGGGGTCCAGCCAAGACTGTGGCAAGTTTATGTCCCAGAGAAAGGGGGACCAGGAGTGCAGGCTGAGGCCCCAGAAGAGAGGTCACAGGGAAGGATGCAGTCACACCGGCCGGGAAACCTACCAGGGTGGTGGAAGTGTGGCAGGCTGGTCCGGGGAGTCCCTGTGGCTCTCGGGGCTGAAGCCTGGGAGAGGATTCCAGGGGTCCGGCTCTCTGCCCACACCTGTGGAGCAGAAACATGCAGCTCCCAGGTCTCCTGCACCCCCTCTGACCCACACGTATGGTTTCCCAGAGCGCCACCTTCCACTGTCCGCCCGGCCCCAGCCATAGGCACTGCCTGCCCCTGGAGAAGGGACTGATGATTCCTGGGTCACACGGGCATGAGCACTGAGCAGGCCAGGGAGCAGCTGGGACCTGCTGGCTCTGCCATCCTCAGGGCTCTGTAGAGCTTAGACTGGACATGTTGGGGGGGGGGGAGTCCCATCAGAATGGGGTTGGGCACACTCACCTCCGGGGATGGCGGGGGGGATGTGGATTTGGGTGACAGAGAGCGCTGTGAATGGAGAGGGCCAGTCAGTGGCCAGCACAGAATAAAAACTCCTCCCTAGTGTCCAGAGGCTGCCCCGCCTTTGTCTTCTCTTAGACCTTTGCCAATTCCCAGCCCTTAACAAAGTGCCCTGAGCTCTCCACTGGAAGCCAGGGCAGTGCATGACTTGGAGCTGCACACTGAGGGCTCTCAGTGCTAACAACGGCCCTGTCCTCAGAGCCCAGCCAGGAATGGCAGCGACCAAACCAACGTGCAAGCAGGGACAAAGCTCAGGCTCCTGGCCTGGGCATTTGAGTTCCAATGCCCCAGTTTACACCACCCTTCCCCCACTCTGAGACAGGGTCTCTCCCTGCAGTTCAGGCTGGACTTGAACTTCCTATGTAGCCCAGGCTGGGCTGGAACTCCCAGCAATGTTTCTGCTTCAGCCGCCTGAGTGCTGGGATCACATGCATGCACCACCACACCTGGCTGACACCATCCCTCTCTGAGTGCAGGTGACAAAGGTCTGTCCATGCACTGACCCATGCAAACTGACCACCTGTGGAATGGACAGGCAGAGCTAACACCTGTGTTACAGGTGAGAAACTGCGGTCTCAACCTTAACCAGTCCCTCAGCTGGGACTTTGGCCATCACCTTGGGCATATTTTGTGCTTTCTGCTTCTTGCTCTCTTTCCCATACAACTCTTTCCTCCCTGCTGCTACATACAGTTCAGCCCTGGCCTCCCTCGCCCTGCACATCCGGGCCACACCCCCGCCGCGAGCCACGCCCCTCTCTGTAAACACTGGACGGATTGATCGGCTGGCTGCAGATTCCCGGGTCCAGTGCCCTTGCTCCGGTGACCGAGGCCGGCAGCCAGGAAGGTCAGCACCAGCGGATTCCATTCCCCACCCTGTGGCCTGTGCCCAAGAGGAGCCCTCACCTCCCGGCTTCTGGGCAGCTCCACGTGGTCCAGGAGGGAGTAGGTAAAGTGGGGCTCATAGATCATGAGGTCGGGTCGCTCGATGTCCAGGATGGCCTTGTCCTTGGGGATGGCAGCCAGGTCCTTGTAGCCCAGCACCTGGTTGTCCATTTTGGCCTGAGGGGAAACAGCACCAATGGACCAGATGTGCCCACAGCCTCGCCCAGGACACTCGCCCGCCGGCCACCTTGTTAGCAGCCAAGAACTTGGGCAGCCATTCGAGCTGTCGCACATCTGAAGGGCTCCCTTATTTTAACGACTGAGACTTCACCTTAAAATAAACTACAATCTCTTTGCATCACACTTTAGGAGCAATCAGAGCACACCTTGGCGGGGGCCGGGGAGCCTCCTCTGGATCTCTTGAGTTCTCTCCGCCTGCCTACGCCAGCAGAAAAGCCGTGGGGTGCAGGGGTGGGAGGCTCGGAGTGACCTGGGCACCCGCCCACCTCCCAACCTGAGGGTGCTGGTGGCCGGCACAGGTACTCACCACGATGCTGGAAGGAGAGCCAGGCACACTGGAGTCTCGGGAGGAGCTGACGCTCCCGGGGGAGGTAAGAGGGTGCTGGGGAGAGCAGAAGGCGGCCGAGTGGGCGTGTGCGTGGATGCGAGGGCGGGGGCGCGGGTCTGCCCTAGGCCTCGGGGCCCAGCGTGCTGCGCGGGAGCGGCCACTAGGCGGCACCCTCGGCTCCAGGGCCGCCCTCC